TCTTAGCGTATGTGATATGTATTTTTTATGGGCTGATGAATTGATCGTGTTTAAATGAAGATTACATTTCATAGATACCATTGCACTGTAAATATAGTGATTTTGTCACCACTCACTTTTCTCTTGATGCTGAGGGTAAACTTGGACTTGAGCAGAATAGATTTACATTGAATTTTTAATACTGGGTGGTATGTCAATTTGGGCAGTCACCAACACCATACAGCACTGTTCAAGGAGTTAATTCTTTCCTCTAGATGACCACCTACTATTTCAACAATTTATTGTAGGAGCCTCTTAGAATATTTATAGCACCACAAGTCAAGGATATAACAATAAAAATTTTTCAGTTGAATGTCACAAGGAACCATAACTACGGATTGCGCATTTTAAAGATCCACTCCTACATTAATTTGTTCTCTACGAACATAGCTGTTATTCAAGCTATCGTTGCCGCTCTTCGTCGCGCACGACGCACTGATATACGAGCATTTAGTCTTTTACCGCACCTCATGTGGTTCCTGAAAGCTGTTCTGATATGTTTACTTGATAATGCATAAACGATAGGATTCAAAACACATGACAAGTACACCAACCACATGGCTATTCGGTACACCCACAGAGGGGTTTTGTAAGAGGGCTGACAATTATGCACCATCATGTACGGACCCCAAGATAAGAAAAAAACCATCACGAGAATGAACCCGATTTTAGCCACCTTGTACTCGCGCGGTACGACGCTAACACGAAGTTTGCTTTTAAATTTTGAAATCGCCCGAAGTCGTAATAAGGGCGAGCTTATTTTCTGCGCGGTAGGTGCTTTAAGCAACGTTGGTTTCTTGTCAGACGCGTCATGCAACGTTCCAAAACTGAGAGATCGCGAACGAGATTTCGGCTGAGGGATCAGTTCTGGTAAATTTTCTTTCCTACCACGATCAGGGTTATGCGGAGTAACAGGTTTATCATAAATAGGGATTGGAGTTGGCGATAACTGAAGTTGGTTAGAACTGGTTTTTGAATTCCATGCTTGTCTCGACTCATCTGAACACTGTGACGTTTCATGGTGGTTTCCGGAAAACCTCTGATCTGGCAAAATCACTCTGTTCAAAGACAACGGGACTGGAATTTTTAAGTCGGGGCTCGCCGCGGGAGTAGAAGCGTTGGTTACTGTAAAACTAATTGAATGAGAAGGCTTTTCTTCCCTGATTGAATCAGTGGTCTGGTTCAATTCTACAGTGCTGCGCGACTTTGGCTCTGACGAAATAGACTTTTTATCCTTCGGTGTGCAGTAGTTACCTAGGCTTAGTGATCTGTGCAATTGTTCTCCTACCAGGCCACGCCGGCTGAAAAAAGGTGAAACTGTTCCTGGTACGAGCTCACTGACAGACAACTTCACGCTGACAGAGCATGATCGCGGTCGCGCAGCTAACTTCATTCGTAACAATAAAGGAAGAGGATTCTCGTCCATTCCAGCGTGCTGGCATCCCGCAGAATACGATCGAAACTTTTCGTCTCGCAGTCTGTCTGGAACGTCTGACTTGAAAGATTCTTCCTTGCATCCAAAAGCCCTGAAACGTGCAATGGACTTTTCCGAATCATTCTGATCAACAGACTCTTTGAATCTACTGAAATTCCGTTCTGTTACGTTCTGTTCTTCATCAAGCGCTGAATTAGTGAGGAACGAGTCTATTTCGTGTCCTGTGATTTCAGCTTCTCGTACGCACGTGCTGTCCCAATACCCGCTTGTGGCACTTGTTGAAACCTTCCAATGAGAAACTCTTTTAGTATGCTTACGCACTGACGAATATATCATGCCATAAGTGGAAAGAAGAGTTACTAGAGGTATTCCGAGGGCTAAAACAGTCATAAATCCGTATAATTCACAGCTACGGTGCCATGCAGGGGAGCAGTGGTTTGTTCCAGGGTGAAACTCGTAGTTCGTGATCAAAGGCAAACAAGCGAGAGATAGAGATCCTAGCCACACCAGCGTGAGCATGTACAACGCTTTCTTAGGGGTCAGTACATGCTTGTAGCGCATTGGTCTGACCACTGCTAAGTATCGATCAGCACTGATACAGCATAGAGTCGAGATGGATGCAAAGCATAACATGGTGCTGGAAATTCCATTCATCTGTAATTAACAAGGAAATAATTGAAATGATGTTTTGATCAAGCTGCGGCCTAACAGCGTTTTTGTTATTTTTCTACGCCCTTCACTTCATTTGAATTTTACATAATGCAGCTAGTTGTTCGCGCAAAAGACCCTTTGCGTATTGACCAACGTATGTCGTCAGTGTGACAACCGAATTTCCTCAGTTTGTTGGATACTTTAGACATGGAGCTCCGCTTACGCGCTGGAGCTCTTCAATAAATAGACTGGACAGTGGCACACTTTTTTCGATACAAAATTTAGCATTTGTCTCGTTTTATGTTACCACGAAACAATCAGGGTCTTCGAAACCATCAGTTTGGCTACAAAAATATGTAATCTCGTTTTCGTTAAGGAAATGTTATGATGAGAATCTTTTACTTCCTCTTTGCTCCCGATATGAATATTAACCGCTGGCCATGCGCAGGACATGAGATCAAGCAGCACTCGCCTCCACTGGGAGTTTTTAAAAACGATTTCAAGTTATCAGCAATCAGTAAGATAAAGCCATTTCCTTTCAACTGATATGTCCTGAAGTGTTTTATCTCACAACAATGAAAAACACGGAATTCGAAAGCGCCGCTTTTGAATAAGGTAAATTCCGGCTTCACACCATTAGGCGCTCAAATTTCCGTTTAATAAAAACGACTATTTTTGCTCTTTGTTGGCTCACCTTCTAAAGATATACTCGCGTCACGAACATCGAACGATATACAAACGAGTTCTCTATTTCACTATGACTAAAATGACCATTATCTAATCCACAGATGTCCTACTGGATTAGTTCTTTTTTCTTTGACGTCAAAATCTGTATGGCTAATCTCAGTAAAAAAAAAAAAAAAAAAAAAAAAACCTCTTTTCAATTTGCATGTTAGTGAAATAATTTTAAGGTGGTGAAAAGTTTTAGCACTCATTGATTTCTACAGTCGGGAAGACCATCCATGGCTTATTTCACTAGCTTTTATTATGGATTTTTCACGGTTGGCTAATTCCTTGTTGGGTATAAAATACAAACTACAGACTAAAGTAAATGAGAAAGTAAAACAAAGCAGAAGAATCCTTTTCGTCATCGTACAGGTCCCTAACAAAAGAATGTGAATAATTTTCAAAAATACTGCTGAAGCGATTTTCCCGTGTCCATCTCATCGAAACTGACATTGGTAGAAAAGAACGCTTTGAAGCTGGCCCGGCCTGGCTGGTACATTAACAAAGTTTTCCCAGTTAGGCAAACTATTAAAATAATGCCGAAAACGTGCTCCTTTTTTTCCGACTGGGAATTCCATTATTTCATATTCTGTGACAGAAGAAACGGTGAAAAACTGACTAAAAAATTTTAAAAAATCTTTTCTCTCACCTTACAAAGCGATGAATCAATGGTCCAACCCAATCTTATAAACGTTGCCAAGCTCAGTGGCATCACAAATATCGCCATTAAAGCGTTAGACACGACCAGGTTTAAAATGAATATATTAGTGGTGATCTTCCTGAGATGTTTGTTTCTGCAAATAACATAAACGACGGAAAAGTTAAGTACGATGGCTGCGGTTATGACCAGTACGAGTATGACTTCTTGAACGAAGTGTAAAATAGGCGAAGTAACGAGGTCATCTTCCTTATTAAGCTCCGCCATTTGGCGGCGAGTGCAGCAAACGAAGTTTGTCGTCCGAAATCAAATGTAAACGTCGTATTCTCGTTTTGGCGCAGAAAACTGTTGAATATTGACGGTTTTTTTTTTTTGAACAAGCACTTGAAAGCATATTTCCTGCAGCTAAACGAAAGAAATCGTTTTATGACTTGAAGGTTTCCGGCAGGAATCCTTCATCGATCAATCGACATTGTTGTAACAATTTTCAAAAGAACGCTAAAGATTGGCTACTGATAATAAAAACTTGTCATTAAGAAACACTCTCTATGCCAAATGTGTAAAATCTTCAGGATATCACTATCACTAATCGGAATATTTCAGTCGCTAATTAGCCGCTGGCAGAAATCGTCGAGGATGCTTATAACACAGCGGTGAAAAGTTTACATACTCATTTCGCAGCACAGGAGAAAACTGCATTACTGGGCCAATAACATGAAACTAATTTACACATAGATATATGAGGATTATTTTTGGAATGTTTCTCAGACTGGTAAAACTAGAAATTGCTTTTATTCTTTAAAAGAAACAAAAGCGCTAACATTTTGAAATTGTAATGAATTTAAGCAATGAGTTGAAGTCAGTAACATTCATTCCCTACTAATCAAAGAAGGTGAAAAAACGCTTTAAAAATAGAGGAATAAGATCCGCCTTTTCCTACACAAAAGCTTGTTCAGTACTGTTTGTATCACAAATACAAAATTAAGCCGCTAGCTTGCCCGGCCGGTAGTAAAAAAGCGGATTAGAGATCACATGATTACTTCTGTGTATTGTGCCAGCGAGTGTCTTTGCCGAGGAGGAAGTTTACGACGAATCGTGTTTTATATAGACGAGTTTTTGATATTTCTTCCTCAAAACAATCAAAAATAACCGCCTTTTGGAAATCGTACATTAATTCAATAGACGTTTTTTGCATCTATTCATTCTAAAAATATTGTCGGTCAAAGATATATAAATCCTCATTTACGTCAAAGAAAAGTAAATGGTTAGGTGCATAAAGGAAAGATGTCGGTAAGACACAATTTCGACTTCCTTGTTATGCGGATGGAAAGATGGACAAATGTAGATGTGGCAGGGTTGTCAAAAAGATCTTGAGTAACTGGACTGTGATCAAAAGGAAGAAGCACAATGTCAGGCTTCCATGCTGAATATTGAGCTATAACCATTCGGAATTCAGAGTAGACGGTGAAATGCGGATTACTTCGTCGACCCTTTTCGGTCGAAATATCGGCTGAATCAGCAAATAAAATAGTTTTCTCAGAGCTAGGTTTGAATAATTTATGTGCATTTTGACATAAATGAAAATACTCTTCTGAACTGTTGTGGCAACATTTTGCTGCAAACATGTTTAAAGACCTTAGGTACTATGCCTGCGTCACTGATGAAGAATATCGCGTGGGGTGTAGAGACAAAGAGTATGGATAACTGAGTGATCATATGGAAATCGAGTGATAACTGAATTTTGAGTCAATTAAATTTGTAAAATTATCTATTAGAATGATACAAAGAGAACAATGTTTCATAAAACACAAAAGGAGGTGAGGTAAATCAAAACGGAACAATCAAACAATGCCGCTGACTTTGCACGTTTCAACTACGACGGATCTTTATTCCTCTTAAACGTATCACTGTATCTTAATGTGAACATGATATTTTTTTTATCCTCTCTAAAAGACATGACGTAAGCGGAATTTCTAGAACTTTAAACGTTCATTGTAGATTTGAGAGAAAGCGGTTTGATTTACATTACAATTTCATTCAAGTTCAAGGTGAATTTTTTGTTTTTGACAGAGCACAGAAAGGAGATATAGGTCACCGTAATTACGTGCAAATGCTTTACATTTATATTTTCAATTGTAATTGGTGCCTCCACGTCGTTACAGACTATGAGTACAAATTTTGGCTAAATGTATCATATATGTGTGTCAAATTATTTAATTGCCATTTTAAGTCACTGCAGGAATACAGTAATGTTTTTGTGGCTAAAAGCTATTAAATACTGCATCTGAACACAGTATATCAAGGTCATGTCTTGTTCCAATTGCCTGGTCACCGTAATTCGTTCATTAAGGACTGTACTTCATGTTCTTCATGTTTCATGTGAGCTTAGCTAAACATCTGGGACCCAATCAGCTACAAAGAGATTTCTTGAAAGACTCCTTCGGTTGGAAGTACATTTAAGTCAGGTTAACGACGTAGTGTTGCAGTCAGAATTCCTGAACAGGTCGTAGCTGGGGAGTGGGGAGGGGGGGTGGAAATAAGCTTTTGTCACAACAAATATATTTGTACGTGGAGAATATTCAGACTCTTGCTGACATGCGAGAAATCACGCGCTGTCCTTCAGTCCACCTACACTTGCAGCACAACGAAAACACTGTAGAGAACATCTGACGAAACTTCATTTTCACCGTAGAGTTACCCAACGCATAAGCTATGGGATTCAAAACCCCGTTCATAAACACAAGCCACATTGTCAATCGAAACACAGTCGGTGGTGCTTTTACTCCAGAAGAACAGATATGCACGACCATGTAAGGTAACCACAAGATAATAAAAATAAATAACAGCAGCACACCAGTCTTTGCAACTTTCAATTCTCTGGATAGCGGTCGTTGATTGCGCCTGCGTTTTCGCGGCCAGAATTTCCTGAGCGTTTCTCCAATGCGCATCATACCACGTGTGCTCCGCTGGACATCTGACGGCTCTTTGCTGCTGTTTGACTGCGCTCCGGGCTCACAAGTGTTAACTAATGGCAGTTCGGTGGCGAAGGACACTTTTTCTCCTTTTTGCAAATAAAAACCGCTAGCTGCGTCAGTTTTCGTATTCAGTTCAAATTGCTTAGCACGGCAGTTTAACTCTGAAAGGTTTGCCGTTGAGCTACATAACATTTGCTCATTTGCAGCTGAAGAGTAAAGCTTGTCGGCCGTAGTCGAGGACTTGTCCTCGTGAGATGAATTTTGCGTAGAGTGTGGCTTTACACTCCCTCTTTCTTTCATTGAAATCAGTTTGCAATTATTGTTTTTAACTTTTGGTCGCGTCCGCTTGATAGTGGAAACCTTGCGCGCGTGTCTACGCATGACGAAGAAAATACGTATGTAAGTGAACACCATCACAGTCATTGGAATTCCAAATCCTACAACTGCCAGATAGATGTACAGGGAACATTCTGATGTCCATGCCGGTGAACAGTGTAAAGTCCCCGGATGATACTCGTACCTGGACCAACCAAATATGGGAAACGTGGCGTACAGGAGTCCTTGTCCCCAAACCACTAACAAAGTATACCAAGCACGTTTGACCGTGACAATGATCTTGTAACGTGTTGGCCTGGTAACTGCAATGTAGCGGTCGAGACTTATACAACAAAGAGTCATAACAATGGCAACACTCGACACAACACTTATGAAACCATTTGCCTGAAAATAGAGGAAGTATCTATTACAAGCTAAATCATACACAGTAAAGAAAATTGACTTTATTAATCAGTCTTTTCGTATACACGGTTGCCTGAGCCCTTTGACCCC